TTTTCCTTTCCCTTTTTTCCCTTCCCCTACCCCTCCCAATTCCCCTGCTCTTTTAAACCTTTTCTTCCTGTTACACAATATCAGTTATACATTTTTTAAATCACAATATTAAGATCTAGGAGACATTTGTTGGTGGCTTCTCTTGCAGTACAGAAGCTTTTTCCCTTTCTTTTTCCCTTTTTTTTTTTGATACTGGGGATCAAAGTCAGAACCTTGCACTTGCGAAGCAGGCGGCGGAACCACTGAGCTAAATCCCCAGCCCCTTAGAAGCTTTTTAATAAGATGAGATCCCAGTTGTTGATTCTTTGTGCTAGTTCCCGTGCTACTGAGGTTTCAGTTTACATTTTATAATTGCTACTGGCTTCTATGATATTTGAAGCACTGTTAGTTAATAAAGACACCCCATCATTAGGAAGTTCTTGGCAATAACAAGAGGAAGTGATATGTAGTGGCACTTTACTGTTAAGAATAAAATCTCCTGTGGATCACTATATAACCAACTACAGACAATAAGCTCCTAGTGAAGTAACAAGAATGTTTAAAAAAAGTATCAGTTACAAAGAATACTTCCTTTCTTGTACTATTTTACAAATACTGTTGCAGATCTACCTTTGACAAATTCTAGCAAATTCTAGTGTCAGACTATTCAGGATTGGGGTGCATCTTTTCAAACAAGAATAAATAAGCTCAGTTAAAACCCAGGTAAAACAAAGTAAAACTGATTTAAACTGAACAACTGACGCCCTACCGAGGTCCTGAGTCGCGCGGAAGACGCCGAATCACCCCGCTGCAGACAGGGAGGTCTGCCCACACCCTACTGAGGTCCCCAGTGACGCGGATTACGCCGAATCACCCCTCTGCAGACAGGCAGCCACCTGGTTCCACACTACAAAGACGCAGAGGACACCAGACCACCAGACCAAGGTAATGAGTGCCCCTGCTCGCGGCCCAGGAGTAGGGGCTTCTGAGCTGCTGTCCCACTGCTCCGAGTCCAGAGGAAGGGGCTTCTCGGCCACCATCCCTCCCGCTGCTCCCAGCCCAGAGGAAAGGGCTTTTAGGCGACCTTCTGTCCCACTGCTCCTGGCCCAGAGGGAGGGGCTTCTCAGC